GGGCTCGAACCCACGAACCGCGAGATCATGACCTGAGCCGAGGTAGGATGCTTAACGACTGAGCCACCCAGGTGCCCCTCGGGCCTCGTTCTAAACATGTTCAACAAGCCCTCCACCAGCAGATTCCTCCTTTTGCCTAAGTCAGCCAGAGCTGGTCTCAGACAAAGAACCTGGACAGGCCCAGCTCTCTGTCTGTCACCGCATCTGTCCCCCCAACCCCACCAAGTTACCACTTTCAAGACTGGCAACGTCCCAAGTCACGCAGCAAGGGCAGAGCCCTGGGTTCAGGAACATCAAGCCCGTGGAAGTTCGCTCTCTCCCCCACCCAGAGTCCCCTCTTCTGCTCCTGCTGTAGAAATACACAGTGACAGGAAAGCTTCCCTAAAGACACCCTAAATTTGTACATTTGCCTGCTTCCCACCTAAGGACTTAAGGAAAGCTTCCTCTTTGATAATTAAATTGCATCTTTCCTCTGCCAGGTACCCAGCAGGAAAAGGAGAAAGAGAGAGAAAAAAGAGGGCGATTTCAGAGTCACGTTATTATAGGATTTGGTACAGTTCGCACCTTTATCTAGTTCATCTGGCTCAGAAAGTTTTGTTGTGAAAATAAATCCCCTTTTGGGATTGGAAGCTAACGTGAGCCGCTCGTCTGCCAGCTCGCTCCGCGGTAAAGTGGCTGTGTGGAGACCCGGACGTGTTTCCAGGTGTTTCAAATCAGGAAAATACGACGCGTGTTTATTAGAAGTGCATCTAATACTTGATTCTCTGTTCCTCCTACGAGAAGAAGATTAGATTTTGGAAAAGAAAGATTAATACCTTTCTTGTGCGGAGACGAGCGGGCGTCTGGACCTGCATGTTGATTTCAGCTTGCCGCGAAACACGGTACCAACGAGGGCAGCCGGTCAAGCCTAGCACCCTAAGTAACGATCATTTAATTAAATCTTGTCACGACAACACCTTCTTTCTAAGCACCGGACAGAGCTCAAGAAACGAAGACGGAAATTTTGAAGACGATTTTTTGTTGTTGTTTGTTTGGCTTGCCATTTATCTGTCGGAAACCTAACCCCAACGTTCCCTTTCTAAGTACCGGCAATGTCTGCTCCCCCCGCTCTGACGCTTCCGAGTCCACGGCACTGAGCAGAGAGCACGGACTTTGCAGACCGTCCTGTTTCTAGTCTGATTCCTCTGCTACTAGGCTGGGCAGCCTCGGGCTAGGTACTGAACCTCTCTGAATTCGCAATACCCTTATCTGTGTGTGGAGTCAGCCAGTGCTGACTTCCAAAGTCATGGTGGCGAGACGATGGGTCGAGTGTCTGAGATGCAGGGGGGGGCCAGACGTGGTGGCTCCTTTTTCTTTTTTTCAGAGCCTCTGCTTGGCACTGGCAGACCCCTCTGGCCATTTGGGAACACTGCCCGGAGGCCACCCTCCTCCCCGCCGTCAGGTGTGGAGGCAGCATCCCTGGAGAGTCAGCCTGGTCCTGACGCGATCGGCCAGGAGCTCTTCAGCGTGCCCTGTGCCTCCCACTCGCCCAGATCACCAACAAATTTACCGTAAGGCTAGTTTGCTCCGGACAGCCAGGCCTGCATCCGGAAAAGAAACGCAACTCCTGCCTGCCTCCGCCCTCCGGTTAGGGAGCCGCTCACCCACCTGATGGTTTGATGTTGCAGGGAATCTGGGTCCGTGGCATTCACGGTCAGGAGCACGCTGCCCACAGAGATGTTCTCCTGCCTGGTCACCATCATGGGGTCCGGGTAGAAAACCGGACCCTCGTTGACATCCAGGACAGTGATGTGGACGGTGGCCGTGGAGCTGGGGCCATAGGAGACGTCGGGTACCAGCGGGTCCTCGTTTTCCACTTTGATCAGCAGGGTGTGAAAGGCGGAGATCTCGTAGTCCAGAGGCTGGAAAGCAGGGGGAGGAGGCTGAGCATGTGAATCTGCTACAAGGGCAGGCGCCTTTGCACCAAGCACTCTGACATCCCACGGGCCGGGGTGGATGTTTAGGGACGGGTCCAGGATTTGTGGGCCAACCTTCATGCAATTTGGGGTCCCCCTTAAGAAAAGGAATACGAAGCACACAGATACAAAAATCGGGATGGAAGGTGTTTGTTTTTTTTTAGATGAAGAAATAAATGACAACACATTACGTGAGCCCCAGAGACCTGGGGTCCCCCGTTGCGATCTCTTTAGGCGACGCCCTGGCCACGCTGACACTAAAAGGCTTCCTACCTGTGACCTGTAGCCACAAGACGCCGCCACTCGGAGGGGGTTGGGGGCATGAACGACTCAAGCCTGAGCTTTGCCAGCTTCAGGGCAGCCCTGCCTCTGTTACCATGGGAGATAGAATGGAAAAGTCCCCAAGTCCCATTTGCACCGTTTCCCTCTCACTCGCCACAAGGTCTGAGGCTGGGGTCTCTACAGCTCTCTGGCACAGGCACGCTTCCCGGGACGGCGTCTCGGAGGGAAAAGGGCTGGAGAGGATTGGAAACACGTGGGGTTAAACCTCTGGGCCCTTCCCCACCTGAGGGCATTTGAAAATGTGTGTGTGTGTGTGGGGGGGGGGGATTTTCAATTGTCACCATGACTTGGGGGCTCAGTGGCCACATACTGGGCGGAGGCAGTGATGACCAGACACACGGCCATGCCAGGGACCGTCCAACATGATGGTGGACTGTTCTGGCCCCAGGGTCACTGAGATGGGGTCCACCGAGGTGAGTTTGCAAAGGGGTCTCGTAGTACCCGCCTCTCCCAGCTGCTGTGCAGAGGAAATCAGATCATGTCAAAGAAGCCCCACTGTAGACACTATTCATAAGGTGGTCCTGCCCATCACAGAATGTGCCAGATGACAGTCACTTGGCCACTCCCTTCCCAAACCACTAGATGATGTAGGAGTGACATTTCCTGTCCCTGGGGGTGCGTGGGGAGACGTTCAGGTCTGATGAGGGCACGTTATTTATTTCAAGTTATTTCCCTAATGTTTCGTGGGAGAATGAATAGCCAGCTCCTCAGACCCGTGACATATGGATACTCCTGCTGTGAGGACAGGACCAAAGCAGGTGCACGGAGTTGATTCACACTCGACTAGAAGGAAGCAAATGACCTCCCAGGTTGTAAGGGCCACGGGAAGTGGGGGCAGAGCCCCACAGGGGCGAGAGCTGGGATTGAAACCCGCTGGGTGAGTTGGACTGACTTGTGGTAACCTTCCATAACGATCGCAGCCAACACGCACACAGCGCTCCCCACACGTGCAGAAGTGCACGCACACGCACATGGGCACGCACACGGGCGCACACACGCAGAGGAAAGGCTGACGTGCCGACGCAGGAGTGCTTCCTGATTGTAACGGGACGGGACCCTCCCCCCCACCCCCCCTCCCCACCTGTAACAACTCCCAGAGGGACCTTCCAAGTTAACAGATACAAAGCTCTTGGCACCTAGGAGCTACCCAGGTGTTATTTGGTCCCATCTGGGTAACACAAGAATACTTCACTGCTCCGTCCCTTTCTAACTTCTGTCCATCCCGAGTGACGCGCTAAATACGCAACCTCAGGGAAGTCCATTTCCAACAGGGGCCAGGGGATCGCCATGCTGGGAATACAGTCATTCATCCCAGGTAGGACACCGAAGAGGGGGAAGACTTTGGCGCGCTGGGTCGGTACCACCCTGCACTCGGCGCTCTGAGCAGGGCTGACGGGAGGAGCTCTGTCTCCGGGAGCCTCCTTCCCCCACCCCAGTGCAGGGCAGACCGAGGGGGGTGCACCTCAGGGCCAGAGGGCTTCTCTCACACCAGCTCTGGCTCCTGGCAGCGTAGCTTGCTTCTGGAGGTCAAGTTAACTAGCACACGGACATGTGTGAAATCCGAAATCTAGCCCGACGTAATTTTCCACCACGATGAAAATGTCACCGGGAGGGGGTTTCTTTGGTTTGTTAGCTTCGGAGGGCTCCTCACAGCAGAATCTGGGCCTGGGTTTGAGGGCCCCCTGAGCCACCTGCAGCAGGATGGAGTGGGGCAGACCAGGCGGGAGGGAAGATCGGAATCTCCGGTGGAGGTGGCCTGGATTATTTACGCACAGCCTTTGAATAGTACGGCTGGAGTGTGTGTTTCTCTATGTGTGTGTATTCATGTTGGATAAGTATATGGGTGCCTTTAGCATTAACCATGTATACACATGGATTTACATATTCGATGTATTTATGTTAGATGTGCATGTATGTTTCTGTCGGAGATGTGTGTGTGTGTGTGTGTGTGTGAGAGAGAGAGAGAGAGATATCTCTATTTGGGTTCCCCGAGACTCCAGCTGAGTCTGGAAGCAGAGCCTGAGGCAGGGGTTCTGAGTGTGATGGACTGGCGTACCTTCTCAGAAGAGAGGGAACGAGCCAGGACGTGGTCCCCGCTGGAGCCCAGCTCCAGCCCAGTGCCACGGGGGTCCTGACGCTTTCACTGCACCAGTAGGTCAGCCCCATCTCAAGGCAGGGGCTGGTCGTTTGCACCCCCCTGCCCCTGAGAGCAGGCCCAGGCGGCAGGCTCTCTCCAGCTGGCAGGGCCTAACCTTCCTGGCTGGGGGCTCCCCTTTTGGTAAGGGCAGTTCTGCTGGGCAGCAGAGGCTAGGACGGTGATCTGCCAGCACTCGAGGCTCTGGAGTGGCAGCCGCGACCTCGTAAGGGAGTCTGGTGGGTGCCTCAGTTTCCCAGGGCGGCCGTACCAAAGGACTGGGTGGCTTAAGACGACAGAAATCCACTGTCTCCCAGTTCTGGAGACCAGGAGTGCAGAGTCCAATGCGAGCAGGGCCGTGCTCGCTCGGAAAGCTCTAGGGGAGCCTGCCTCGTCCCCGTGCCGCTCCCTTCTCTGTCTCTGCCATCGCACGGCATTCTCCCCTGGGTGGATCTGCCCTCACACGGCCGACTTCTTACAGGAACACGGTCCTGCTGGCCTAGGGCACCCCCCCCCACCGCCACTCGACCATGACCTCATCTTCGCTAATCACATCTGCAGTGACTGCTTCCAGAGAAGGCCCCCTTCACAGGGTCTGAGGATTAGGACTCCAAAATAGCTCTTCTTTGGGGGCATAATTTGACCCATAACAGTGGGGCACCTAGAGCCCTCTGACCCTCATAATATATATATTTGATCTTTACCCCCACGCGTCTCTATTTGCCATGACATTATTTATCCCTTACTGTGCACCTGCCTGTGCCTGGAGTGCCCTGTGTGCATCACCTCACCCAAGCCTCACTTTACCTCGTGATAGTGGGTGTTTTTATTCCCATTTTGTAGATGAGGGAACAGACTCAGAGAGGTTGAATAACTCAGTTAAAGTCACACAGCACATAAGTGGCACAGTTTTGGCCCCGGAAGCCTGACGAGAAAATCAGAGCCAATAATAAACCGCTGTTTGTACCAAGTGTGATGCTGACGGGGACCTGGTCCTCTGCTCCACTCTGGGCCGATTTATTCACACTGGGATGGAACGCAGCTTCATAGGTGTGCAAGGGACACCTTCGTTCCCCAATACAGAGGGGTGCAGGTCAAGGTCTGGCCCTGGTGCTCGGTCACCATTGGGCCCGTGGGCTGCTGCACGCTTGTCCCTGCCCTTCCCGGAATCTTGGCCTGGTAAGCACTGGAGCAAGGGACCCTGGGAGAGGCTAGGGAGCTGCGGTGCGTTTCCCACAGACCTTGGTCTGGAGCCGCCAGGGTAAGAAGAAGCTGGTAAGATGGCCACTAAGAAAAAGATGGGAGGCCCTGCTCGCCAGCCCGTCTCCAAGTACGTCCCCAGGCCGACATGCCCTGGGCAGAACACTGGCCTTCGAGGGGTGGAGACGGGAACAGTGCCACGGAGGCAGGGCAGAGGGGCAGTGAGTCGCATGCTGCCTTTCTGCAGGGCAGTGCCCTCGCTCCCTCACCCCACCTGCCCTGTGCGGAATTAGGCTGTAGTGATTCCATTTGCGCGTTCCCCGGGCCAGGCCGCTGGGGAGCTGGCAAAACGTGGGTCTCTGCTCTCGTACCCTGCCCTGGGTCATGCTGGAGTAAGAAACCCTCCTTTGTCTCGGGCATGTGACCTCATTAATGTGATTTGTCTGGTGCAGGGTCTCTGTGTCAGGGATGGGAGGAAATTGAAAACACTTCCAATAAAGTTACAGAGATTCGATTCAATTAATATTTCATTGAGGGTCAAGAGTGGGTGTGGATCAGTGTCCTGCGGGGTTTAAAGGCTGGAAAAGCCATCCCACACGGCGGGGGGGGGGGGGGGGGGGAAGGTAAAGAACCTGGGGTTTGTTGTCTGATAGAGGGAGGATTTGGAAGTGATCTTACAGTGACTTTTAAGCCTATTATCGCTTTGGGGATCAAGGCTTTCTGGATGTTTCCTTCCCCTCTGAGGACAAAAGAGAAAACAGGCTTAAAATACAGGGTGGATTATATTCAGCCAAAAGGGTAACTCTCTGACAGTTTTGGAATAGGTTTACAAAGCAGCTAAGAGCATTCCTGACCAGAAGCTTTTACAAGGAGACAGGTTCTTGCTTTCTGGAACTGTTAGGATTTGGTCCTGCAGGGAGGTAGGATTCCCCTGGGAACCACACAGTCCTGAAATTTCTGCTGGTTCCTCCGTATGTGGACTGCCAACTTGTTAGGGCGGGACTGCTCATGGCTGGTTGCCCAAAGACCACCCCCCACCCCCTCCCTGGTGCTCCCCTCCCCATCTCTTCCTGCAGAAGCCCCAAAGGCCAGATTTAGATTGCAGAGCCTTCCCTGCAGCTGAGGGTGGGCATATGTTATCTGGGCAATGAAACATCATGGGAAGTTGCCTGGTCAACCAGTGGAAAAGATATTTTCTTCCCTGAAGGCGGCGGCGGGGGGGGGGGGTGGCACTTGAGAGTTCTCTCTCTCTCTCTCTTTCTTGCCTGGCTGTCTCCTTGCTTCCAGCCTTAGAACACAGCAGTGGGAAGATGTGCTACCTGGAACTTTGGCAGCCGTTTTATGACCATGAGGAAAAAGCCAGAGGCATCTGCTGTGCCCCCTGATGGCTCTCTGACACCCTGAGCTGCCAGTCAATCCTAGATTGGCCTACCTTCATCTAGTTATGGAAATCATTAAATTCTCTTTAGTGTTTAAGCCGCTATCAGCCTGGTATGTCAGTACTTGACCTGAAGGCATTTTTAACTCGTGCACTGGCGGGAACAAGGCCAGGCCTGCCTGCAGAAAGCTGCCCCGGGGGCTTTGACCTTGGTGGACTGAGAAGCAGAGAGAGTCCAAGGCCCTTTGGAGGAATTCATGGGGCAGGCAGCCGGAGGGAGGCGGAGTCTCCATCCCAATTCTGAAGCAAAGGAAGTCCACTCACTGGTCAAACTGAGGCCCAGAGGGAGCCCCAGGTGTCGCGGAATCTGCAGGTGGAAACTCGCCCTCCGCAGCGGTCATCTGCGAGACCGGGCTCGGTGAACACCTCCCTCCCTCACATGGTGACCCAGCAGGTGTGGTGTGGGCCCAGGAACCTGGGTCAGGACTAGCATCCTTGGCGATGCTTCTGCGTGCTAACGTTTCAGACTCAGCAGCGAGGGCCCATGTGGGAAGGTGGGGAGGGGAGGACGTGCCTTCGTGACTCTGGTTCTCTTGGATTTTCTGTCCCTCCAGCTGCAGCAAACAGAACGGGGACGACTGTGCTGTTCCAGGATTTATGATGGGGATGCATATTCACCCAAATGCTGTCTTCCAGCCGCAGGTTCGGAAAATTGTCCGACGGCTTGTATAGACCCAGGCTAGCCGCAGAGGACAGACAGAGGCTGCGTGAGTTTGGGACTTTCACGACTTGTGAAAGTGCACGGGTGGGTGCACTGGGAGGGCAGTGCCAGGATCTCCTAACAACTCCGCCCGTGCCTGTGTTACTAGAAACCAGTCCTGCCAACTTCAGCCTCGTGAAACTGATTTTAGTGCTCTGGCCACCAGAACTGTAAGAGAATGTGAGTGTGTGTTGCCCTACATCACCAAGTTTGTGGCCATTTGTTAAAGCAGCCCCAGGACACTTGCACAGGTGCTAAGGGTCTGTCGCCCTTTATCTCCTGTTTTTAAGTGAATAACTGAGATTGTGCTAAGGAAAGACCAAGAAGAAATGTAATGATCTCGCTCTCTCTGTTTTTTTTTTTTTAGAGAGAGAGAGAGAGAGAGAGAGAGAGAGAGCGAGAGCACATGTGCCAACAAGGGAGAGGGGCAGAGGGAGAGAGAGAGAATTCTAAGCAGGCTCCACGCTCAGCACGGGGCTCCATCCCACGACCCTGGGATCATGACCTGAGCCAAAATCAAGAGTCGGACGCTCGACCAACTGAGCCACTCAGGCGTCCTGTAATGATCCACAGTTTTGATCACAGATCTTTAAAAAACCTTCACATATCCCATTTTTGCATATCTTTGATAATTCACGATCAGATGTGTGGAGAATCTCATTTAAAAATTAAGTTTGGGATTTTTTTGAAGGTTACACGTAAGTTTGAGTTTCCTAGAACCCGTAAAACAGCTTGGTTTCGTGGCTGTGAGGATACAAGGTCACCCTTAAGCTGTGAGCCCCTTTTTCTGTTTTCAATTCCAAAAGGAGGAGAGCAGGGCTGACTTCTCCTTGACCTTCCCCAGCAGGGAGGCCCTCTGCCTGGTGGAGGGAAGGAGCCCGGAAGCGCCCTTACTTTGACGACGGACAGCATGCCCTCGTTGGTCTGAGGGTTGGTGTGGATTTCGAAGCTCTGCCCAGGGTTTCCGTTGATGATGGTGTAGACAGCCCTCCATGCGCCCGTGGTGGGGTCGTCCTTGTCTTCCACTGTCAGGTTGACGATAACCCCCACGGCTCCTTCCTCGACGGTGGCTTGAAACTGCAAACAGAGCAGATGGTTACTGTCACTCTTTGGAAAGAACAGCGAAGACCCTTTGCGGGGCTCGTACCGTGGGCCCGGTAGTGGGTACGTTACCCGCATCACCTCATTTCACAGTAAACAATAATGCAGGCAGGTCACGGAGCTGTGCTGTGTTGGCAGATGGTCCGCTCCCTCCCTCTGCCTTCCTTGTACTTAGGTGAGGCCATGAGACTGCCTTCTCCCCTACTGGATGTGGCCAGATGTGACGTTTGCCAGCTGGGGGCAGCGGTCTCTTCTCTGTGCCTCTCTCCTGCCCTCTATCGGAACCCAGGCAACCACAGGACCCCAGGGCAGGGTACGGCTATGGGGGGAGGAGCGTGGGTCCTGAGTCCCCACAAGGAGAAGAACACCGTCCTGGGAGCTGTTGTTGAAGGAGAGACAGACGTCTATGGGGGTTGAGCCTTTATGCAATTCTGCCTTTGCTCTTGCAGCGTCATCTACCCCAAACCACAAGGTAACCAAGGTAACCGGGGAGCCAGTGTGTGTTTCCCTGGCGTGTGGAGGGACTGGAACTGGAGCCCCCCCCTTCCCCCCCAGTGTCGGACTCCATAGCCTCTGCTCGACCGCACCATCTCCTCGAAGGAAGAAAGTCCCACTCCTTCCCCATGACTTAAACAAAACAAAACAAAACAAAACAAAACGTTTTCTACGGAAACTTATAAATCAATTGTTTGAAGCCTTGTTGTACCTGTGTTTTTATTGTAATACATCTCACATACTTGTTGCAAGTAGGTGTGGTGGAAATAAATCAATAAATGAAAAATCTGCTTTCCCAGAGATAGAGAATTTCACGAGCTATCATTAGCACATTCCTTCGAGCTGGAAGCATAAAGTATTGTTTTGGTGCTTACCTCTGACACACTACACGTGAATAGTAATCTGTTTGCAAATATTTTACAGACAAGTAATACCAATAAGCTGACAACAAGAAGAAATATCTTGGAATTTCAATTAGTAGCCAAGTGAATCTAGAGACAGTGAGACAGTGTCAGAAAGCCCTTGTGTTCAGAGAAAAGTAATTTGAGAGATGAGGTTTCAGAAGCGGTGGCTGATTAATTGACTTGCAAATCATTAATCATAAGCCTTAATCTTGATGCCTTGGGGGGGATGGGGCGGGGACGCGAACTAATTTGTCTACCACACCTCAGCAAACCCGGGTGGGTTGTTTCCTTTTCTCTGAAAGGGACGCTGGGAAATTCTTGGAACATGATGGCAGGATGGAAAGTGGCCAGAGCAGGGAGGTCTGGAAGACGCTGTCACATGGATACGGCTCCGGGAGACAAGGAAGTTCACCTGATTCCTGTCTAAGGAGGCTCTTCCTTCTATCTTTCCCTCCTTCTCACAAAAATCATGGAATTCCTAAGCGTAAGCCTAGATAGATGGTTTTCAGCTGTTTGCACATTAGAATCTTTTCAGGGGCGTTTTGTTTTGTTTTGTTTTGTTTTGTTTTGTTTTTAACTAACCAGGCTCTATTCCAATTCAGTGGGTTTGGGGTAAAGTCTGAGATTCCGTACTTTCTTAACCTGTCCAGATTATTCTTTTTTTTTTTTTTAAGTTTATTTATCTACTTAGACAGAGAGAGAGAAAGAGAGAGAGAGAGAGAGACAGAGAGAGAGAGAGAGAGAGAGAGAGAGAGAGAGAGAGAGAATCCCAAGCAGGCTCCATGCTGTCAATACATAACCTGCTGTGGGGTTATGAGATCTCATGAATCATGAGATCATGACCTGAGCTAAAACCAAGAGGCAGATGCTTAACTGACCGAGCCACCCAGGTGCTCGTGTCCAGATAATTTTAGTATGCAATTTGGGTCGAGAGAAGCATGATAGAGTCCAAGGTCAAGAACGTTCAGATATGGGTGAAGAAATAGGCACAGAGAAGCAAGGGAAGCCCAGAGTCATTCAGTGAACCAAAGGTCAAGTCCGCGTCTCTTGGATTCCTATAAACGCTGCTTTTAACAAGTTCTATTACTCAAGACCCGCATCACTTAGGTCTGTCCTTCACCCTTCCTGGGGTCCAGAGCCCGAAGACCGGTTCTCTGTCCCTGCTGATCACATCAGACCTCAGCTCATAACCTGTCCTTGTGTCTTTTCTGACACTGGCACCTTAGGACCCCAGGTGGGCAATTATGCAGGCACACAGAGCACTGAGACCAGAGGATGCTGGGAACCATCCATCCTGTAGAAATGCTGCTACATCCAGCACAGAGGTGAGAAGCTGCTTTATCAAAGCAGATGAGGTTCACGTTGCTGAGATGAACACCTAGGACAGATCACGATTTGAGGGGGCTGGAGGCCCTATGTGGTCTGCCTTGTTCACAGATCTCCTCCCGACCCCTCACATGATGCCAGGTACAGAGAGGGGACACAGTAAGCATTTGTTGAATGAATCGGTGGTCTTAAATATAGGCAGTAGGTCTTAAATATAGGCATCAAAGGCGAGGGCAGAGGAAATATGAGAGATGTGGCTAGCCAGGAGCCGTAAGAGGGACTGGCTTGTTGACTGCTGCTTGATTCTGCTACTTGCTTGATGTTCCAGAAGGGTAGGGATGGACCGATCTCTTTTGTTCTCCAGGACATCTCTAGCACGGCGGCATCACAACTTTTGTCGATCTTAGGTACTTTCACCTTCGTTGGTCCCTCCCGCCATAATAGCTTTGCATGGGCTTAAATTTTTTTTTTTATGTGAGGGAAAAAACGAAAATTTTCTTTGACTCTGAAAGTTCTTTTTTCCTTATGATTTGAGGATGCCGTGTCGATAGTAACTGTTGGATGACTCAGCCCTGATCCCCAGTACATAGCACAGTACTGGATGCACGAAGATCTGATGGATGGATGGATGGATCTTAAAATTGATATTTAGGCCATGTCTAAGTGGGAAAAACCTGTGCCGATTTCCCCCATGACACTTCTTTTTTAATGTCTGGAGCACATACCATAGGGGATGGCATAAAACACCCTTTTAGTGTGCGAGCCAATGTCTCCAAATGGAATAAGGTGGTATTATTACAGGAATTCTCACAGTGTGTACTGTGGCCCTAATATATCCTTAGATTTAGCAATATGTCCACAGCTACATTTACCTACCATCCATCCACCCCTCTATCATCCACCCATCATTTTCCATCTATTCTCCATCCATCCTCCATCCATGTATCCATCCATTTATCTTCCTTCCGTCCATCCATCATCTACCCATCCATTCTCCATCCCTCCATTTATCCATCTATCCATCTATCCATCCACCCATCCATTTACCCATCCATCCACTCACCAATCCATCCATCCATCCATCCATCCATCCATCCATCCATCCATCCACCAATCCATCCATCCACCCACCAATCCATCCATCCATCCATCCACCCATCCACTTACCCATCCATCCACCCACCAATCCATCCACCCACCAATCCATCCATCCATCC